TGGAATTCCTGGCTGATGGAAATACCTGCAGATGTGGACTTCATGGAGATATTTGCCCTCAGGCTTTACCTCGTTCTGCTACTCCTAGAACTGGCAGTATGTTGGCCCTCAGACACATGAGCAATATGTCAGTCCCTCTCTTTAGAAGTGAATACTAATGCCCTGGCCCCTCCGCTATGTGTTCAGGACCTGGGGCCACTGTAGAGTATCATGCTCTCCTGGGTGTCGGTTTCTGCCAGGCACCTACTCTGTATCTCTGCCTTCTGGAAATCCACCCCTTTCTCCAAAGTTGTCAAAGTGATTCCTCAGGTTTCAAATAGCTGTTGCAGATTCAATCGTGTAATACTTTTAAACACGTTTTTTGAACATTTCAATAGTTTGTGACAATTGTGACCTGACTCCCATTTCTAAGTCATCTGTAATTTTAATTCTGTGGTCATTGGCTTTGTATAACCTTATATTTTATTACTTATTTATTTGTGTGATATTTTATGTTTTTGATTTTTTTAATGACATACAAGGAGAAATGAGGATTACCAACTTAATACAAACTGAAATTCTGCTGAGTTGAAGCTGAATTTAGATAATTTCAATCTACTTTGGTTTACTCCAAGCCTAGTTTTTGGTTCTCCAAAGATTGTAATTTTACTTACTACATTGTGGTGGGAGGTAAAATAAGTATCTTCTTGCCATTGGTAGCCTGTAGCAATATTGATAGCCATTTCAGAAATATAAAGATGATTTTAGATTCCTGCTGTATTAATCTTCAAATTTTGGAAAATATCTTTAAAAGGAGACTCTGTATATTTACTTCCCACTCTCCAATTTTACCAAATTTAGAATTGGATAAAAGTCTTCAGTAATAAGATTTTCCGATTTTTCACCCCAGGTCTATTGGGCTGTCAATCATTTTATCCTTTTTTCTGACTCTTGAAGCAGTTGCCTGCTTAGTCTAAATCCACGTTCTTATCTCTGATCCTCAGAGAAAAACACTTGGAGACACTGATTTCACCTGTGAAAAATTCATTTATTTCTGAAATCTTAATTTCCCTGATTTTCATGACCTCTTCAGTAATTTATTTACTTTTTCTTAATTTTTTGGACTATTTGTTTCATCTGTCTGTTATATTAGTGTATAATAAATATGCCATTAGTCGGAATTGTCTGGAGACTATGTGGAATAGCATCTTCCATTCCCATCAGCATATTATAGATTAATTTTTTATATCCTGTGAAATAAAGGTTATGGACAATCAGTGTACTTCACAATATTTTTAAAAATGAAATTAAAAGGTAAATTTACTTTGAAACAAAAATGCTTTGAATTCCATATATAGGGTTTTTTTTTTAGTGTATGAAATGTGTTTTTTCATTCTTGACAGTTGTGTACTCATTATTTGTCGGCATTCCTGATTCTATGGGGAATGGAGATGTGGCAGTTTCAGTTTTCTTTTTTATTGGACCTGACTTAACTCAGACACTTTGAAAACTCTATTTTTTATTTCTGCAGTTATATATCAGACACCTTTTTAACATTAATATTTTGGGCTTCACTATAGATGGAAATAAACTTTTAATCAACTTTGTTATTTTATTTTTAGATTTAATGACAAAAAAAAAAATCAGTGTTGAATCCCCAGCACATATTTCAGTTTACTAAAGAACAAAAGTAATGTGTGTTTTTCTTTGTACAACATGAAAGAATTTCACATGTTTCCTGATGCAGATTTAGGATATAACAATACTTCCCGTTCTACTTTCCTTCCTGTTCTCATCCCCCGCCCCCGCCCCCCACTACTTTTTCCTTGTTTCTTTTTTCCCCCTAATTTAACAATGGCATATTTTCATTTCACTTCACAATCAGAGACTTAACACTGCACTTCAAGCAAGTTTGGAACTGTGTAAACACAAAAGTACTTTGCTACTGTTGATTTCCAATTTGGTACATTTAGCTGCAAGAGACAAGATTTCACTCTTAACTTTATGACTGCCTAATGTCCTACAGAGTATTTGCACCACATTCTCTTTATCCAGTTATCAGTTGATGGATATCTGGGTTGATTTCGTACATTAGCTGTTGAGCTTTGAATTGCTGTAAATATGGGAATACAGAAAGCTCTCTCACATGCGATTTCATTTCATTTGGATAAATTCCCAGGTGTGGGATGGCTGGGTCATATGGTAGATGTGTTTTCAGATAATTGGGGAATTTTCATGCTGCCTTTCATAATGATTGCACTAGCTTACGTTCCTACCAATCCACAAACATGGGAGATTTTCCATTTTTTGATATCTTCTTTGATTTCTTAATTTAATAGTATGTGGTTTTCTTTGCAGAGATACTTTAAATCCTTGGTTAAATTTACTCCAAGATATTTAAAATTCTTTTGCAGCTATTATGAATGGCACTGATCTGACAAGATCTTTTTCAGCTATTTCTTGATGGAAGCTTTACTACTACTATTATTATTAGACTGTGCAGGAGACTCAGCCATGCACTCATCCCAGCTTAAAAATTAGGAATACTTCACGAGTCTGCATATCATCCTTGCACAGAAACCAATTCTCTGTATTGTTCCAATTTTAGTATTTGTGCTGCCAAAGCAAGCACTCAAAGGCTGTTTGTGCATGTGTGTGTTGATTTTATATCCTGCAATGTTACCTAACTCTCAGGAGTTCCCATAGTCTCTTTTGATTTCTCTATGTAGAAAATCATGTCATCTGCAAACAGAGATAGCTTCGCTTCCTCCATTCCAAATATATTTCTTGAATTTCTTTTTCTGACAGTGATTCAAATTGGCAAATTTAATTTCTTTTACTACTTCTCACACACCCATTGAACATCATTGGAAATCTGAGGATTATCGTGCTCATTCTACTGATTTTGTTTTGTAATTCTCTATTTTGCGTAGCCTCAAAATACTCCATTGGAGTGCTAACACAATGTTGTTCTAGCATATAGGTCATTTAAAAATATTTATTAGTTTAGTAAGTGTATACATTTCCAGGAAGTATGTATTTTACAAAAATTAAGGGTTAATATTTGACTAAAATGAATAATGTTCCCAGGAACATAGAAGTGTATTTCAAAAGATGTTTCCTTGTTCAGGTATAAGGATGATGCCCAAAAACTATTTCTAAATCTTGAAGTCCAAGGAGCCATTGTCATTTAAGAGAGTTTGTATTACAAGTTAATGTAAAGCAAAAAACTTACACTAGTGCCAAAAATAAAAAATTATTAGTGCACAAATTTGCATCTAGGGGCTGGCATTGTGGTTTCAAGGATTAAATTTCTACCTGTATTGCAGCATCCCATAAAAGGGCTCTGGTTGGAGACTTAGTTGCTCCACTTCTGCTCTGGCTCCCTGTTAATATGCCTAGGAAAGCAGCAGAATATAGTCCTAGTTCTTGGACCCCTAAACTCACACAGGAAACTCAGAAAAAGCTGCTGGCTCCTGGCTGCCACCTGGACCAGACCTGACTGTTGAGCTGTATTGTCTACAACTTCCTTTAATGCTGTTTGTGGGACACATTCTTATCTCCCTTCCACTTATTTATTGATTCTTCTGAAACATAATAGTAGCAAATAGATTCATCCACATGGAATATGCCTAACAACCCCCCTCAGATCCCGTGTATGTGTGTTATAGCTGTAAAAATACGATGAGTCAGCACCGCTGCTTACCACTTGCTGTGCATGTCTTTTACATATTCTTTTTAAAAAGTGGTTATATGTATTGGAGATACATTATCCCATACAAAAGAATCACTTTTTCACATCTTAGAAACCATGAGAAGAAATTTGATTGCACATTTTCATTTTAAAAGCAAATTAAGAGCCCAGCATGATAGCCTAGTGAGTAAAGTTCTCACCTTGCACATGCTGGAATCTCATATCAGCAATGTTTCATGTTCCAGCTACTCCTTCACTTCCAGTTCCCTGCTAGTGGCTTGGGAAAACAGGGAGGATGGCCCAAAGCTTTGGAACCTTGCACCCACATGGGAGACCTGGAAAAAGCTTCCTGGTTCATGGCTTTGGATCAGCTTAGTTCCTGCCATTTCAGCTTCTTGGGGAGTGAACCAGAGGATGGAAGATCTTTCTCTTCTTGTCTCTGAAAATCTAGCTTAGACAGAGCAGTGGACAGCATACCCCCAAACACAAGGAAGATATGGCAGTACAGTGGAGCATGCATAGGACCCCTGGTACCAAAACAGAAGACAGAGGACAGATCAACTACCCCAGGCAAGTGTTGGCAGTGAATACCTGGGCAGACAGTCTCTAAGGTGGACTATGCCAGCCAATGGAGTCTGGAGAGATTTTATTGTGATTGGAGTGGAAAGATTAGCAGCAATGCAGAACTGCTGAACTATCAAAACCACTTGAGCAAGACCCTCAGCGCATGCCCCACAACGGGGTCCTGGGATGGTTGGGAGGCTGGGTATATTTTCTCCCCTTGTCTCTCCCCTTCCCCCAGATACAGGAAGGAAAGAAGAGAGTGTGAAAACAATGGTCTCACCCACTTTCCTCTATCCCTTGACCCTTCACACCCTAGTCAAATATGTAAAAATTATCAAAAAAATAAAATTTATATAATTAAAAAAACAAAAAATATTAAATGATAACCACTCAATTGTTCTCATACAAATGATATCCAATAAATTGATCCTCCTATAAATGGTGACTTTAAGGTAGACTATGTCAGGCGATGGACCTTTGAAAGATTTCCTCAGCCTTAGAGCAACAAAATCAAGAACATTTCAGAACTGACAAAACTGCTTGAGCAGTGCCCTTGGAGCATGTTCCACACCAGGGACCCTGGGATGACATCAGGTGGCCAGCCCCCATTCCTGAGTACTGCTGTGGTTAGGGTGCTGGGTGAGATATCAGCTGCTCTGCCCACGTTCCCAGATAAAGAAGAAGAAAATCCTTAATGTGGAGTGATTAGAGAATTTTTCTTTCAGCTTTCTTTCAGGGTCATGTTTCCCACATAAAGACACATTCATTTATTTGAAACAAGAATCATCCTCTGGACCACGCTCTTGAAGGCTCGCTTCACTTGCTGATTCCTTAACGTATAGATGAAGGGATTCAAGAGCGGTGCCACCGAGGTATTGAGCACAGCTACCCCTTTGCTTAAAGTCACTCTCTCCCTTGCAGAAGGCTTAATATACATGAAGATGCAACTCCCATAAGAAAGGGAGACGACAACCATATGGGAGGAACATGTGGAAAATGCTTTTTTCCTTTGACTAGTGGAAGGAATTCTCAAAATTGTCCGGATGATTTTCGTGTAGGAGAGAATAACTAATGTCAAAGTGACCATGAGTGTTACCACCGCTAAAAAAAAGGCCACGAGTTCTAGAAAGCGAGTATTTGTGCAAGAAAGCTGTAGAATTGGAGAAGAGTCACAGATGAAATGATCGATCACATTGGAGGCACAAAAATCCAACTGCAGCAGGAAGATCGTAGGTGGGAAGATGATCAAGAAACCCGCAAGCCACGAGCTAAGCACAAGGAGGATGCAGACTTTGCTGTTCATAATGGTTGTGTAATGCAGAGGTTTGCAGATGGCCACATAACGATCATAGGACATGGCAGCCAGAAGGTAAAATTCTGTCGCCCCCAAGAAGATGAAAAAAAATAACTGAGCCACACAACCATTATAGGAAATAGTTCTGTCTCCTGTCACGATCGTGACAAGGAATCTGGGGATGCAGACAGAGGTAAATGATATTTCTAGAAATGAGAAGTTTCTAAGGAAGAAATACATCGGTGTCTGCAGATGGGGATCTGAGAGGGTGAGGATGATAATGATCAGGTTCCCAGTCACACTCAGCATGTAGGTAACCAGGAGAAATACGAAAAGCACCACCTGCCACTGCGGGTCGCCGGTTAGTCCAAGAAGAATGAAGTTTGTTACTGTAGTGGAATTTCTCATTATTTGCTCTAAGATACTTTTTTAAAGCTATAGAATAGAAGATGATGTAAAAAGTCTATGACACTAATAAAAATAATTGGTAAATTTTCTTTGTGCCTTATTTTATTTGGCATGATGCTTCACAAATGGCTGAATAGCTTTCCACTGTGTGCGTGTGTATGTGTGTATGTATGCATATATACAGCATATGCTATGTTTGTATTTTCTATGTTCTTCAGGGGGTACTCACTTTTAGATATTACGTATGGTATGTAGGTCTAGAAGTCTAATGTATAGCATAAGGACTATAGTTAATAATATGTTACATGCTGAACATTTTGCAATAGAATAGATTTTAAATGCCTTTGGCCATCAAGTCAAAACAAAGAAAGATAATTGTGGCAGGTGGGATAGGATAATTTGATTGTAATAATAACTTCACTATTTGCATATGAAAACATAATGTTGCATCCCTTGGATATATATCATTCAAAATAGCTTAGTTGATGCACACATGCACTCTGAAGGACTTATTATTGTGTTTCACTTCTAGAAAAAAGGATTTTATTGTACATAGATATAAGACATTTTAAAAAACCAGTGTTGCTTCATGTATTACTTATCCCCCATATTTCAGCCATTGTATTCACATGTTTCCCTATAAGTTTGTCTTCTGGATGTTTCAATACAAGTCCTGAAAACAAGAAGAAATTATCCTCTGAAAATTTTTGAATAAAACATTTGATGCCTACTGCTTGTATACCAAATTACTTTGAGTAATACAGTTACCTTCCTCCAAAAAGTATTTTGGATAAGTATTTCTTTCTCTACCTTCATTTAAATTTTCACAGTGTGTGAAAACCTTCCAGAAAAGTGTTCCTGATAACAGTACACAAAGGTGCTCAGTGGAGGAAAGGGCGTTAAGCTTTAATTTCTCATCTATATGAAGATCTTTACTAAAATCCTGAATATGCTCTTTGAATATCTTTTAAGTTAGCACCTATTTATCATGAATTTATGATGCATGATTATATTTCGACTTTTAAGGTAAGTTTTGAAGAGACAAAGATAATTAAAAATTTTTTCCCTCTTTTTGTCTTGATACTATCTTTATGTTCTACAGAAATTTGTTCCTTCATGACCTAAATTATTATTTTCCAGAAACATTTTAAATATATTCTCATTTAAGGGGATGTTAAAATATTTAAGTATCTGAAGAATGTATAATGTCACATTTGATTTATTTATTTTTGGTAGAGCTATCAAACAATAACATTTTTCATTATTAGCCTAATACTGAATTGATAATTAATTTACCCATAAGTTTTGGCTACTAATTTTGTGGAGGGATATATTCCAGTATCTTGCATATTTGTGATCACATGATATGTACATTTTATCATTTGTCCTTTGGGTGTTAATTTTCTCTCTATATAAAATTCACATTGTTATAAACTAAAACATAAAGTGTATTTGCTCTACTTAAATATATTGAAGTAATATTTTTTCCATATTAAGCAATAATGACATGATGGTTTCCAGATCCAAATTATAGTATAAGTATTTTTTTACTAGATATTTAGATAAGAATGTAAAAATGATATAATCATATTACAAAACATTTATAACAGGCAAATGTGTTGCATGAAACTCTTGCCTTGCAATATTTTTGTTTTCTTTCTTTATATAAATAACAACATTTAAAAATTTTATGTATATATAATAAAAATAATTTAAATAATAAAGTAAAAATTACACAGCTGAAAGGATATACTTACTTTCCTGGTTAATGCGATTAGTATAATCAACAAGAATTCTGATGGCTTAATTAATACGTTCAAACATAAGTGCTTTGAGGTTTTTCAAGAGATCCACACTGTGTTTTTTGTATGTGTTCTCAAATTCATAACAAGACAGCCAAGCCATTCATTGTAAAAGACAATCCCAAGTATGTTTCAACAATGTCTACAGAAAGTTCATGCGCTAATCCATTTTTACATGTCAATATGAAGATCTATGGGAATCTGAGATTCGAATTTATTGCCATTTAAAACAGATTCTCCTGACAGTTGAAATGATGGTCAAGGTAGTATTTTTCTAAGCATGCTGGGCAAGAAGATTTGTGTAGAGGCCCTGTTATTTAGGCTAGCCTTAATTTCATGTGCTGCATTTGCAACAGACTCAAGGGGATTAGTTGAATGAATAAACAAGAGGTACCATTGAGATTGTGGTTCTCTAGATACCAAGTGCTGAATGGTAGTCCAAATTATTGTACAATTTGGAACAGATTTGCTAGACAATAGTGATCTGAAATCAAAGCAGGAGTAGATATAGATCAACATTTTCATAACAATCTAGAACTTTACGTGGAGAAGCAGTTAAGAAATGACATCCTAGAGATTGTCAGATTTTAAATGGCACAAAGACTAAACTTGAGTCAATGGGTTTTCCTATTTTAGGAAAAGTAATAACTTAATAACTCATTGTGACATTTCAGAATAAACTAAGGTCTTCGTTATTCTGTAAGGCTGAAGCATTTAAATCTTGAGGCAGACATCAGCACAAGGATTTAGTTGTTGCGTGGGATGTCAAAGAGTCCATATCAACATGCCTGCTTACTATCCTGGTTACTCTTCCTCAAATTCATCTTCTAGCTAACATGTACCCTGGGTGGCAGTAGATCAAATGTTTTCTCCCCCATCATTCTGATTGGAGACCCAGCTTGAATTTCAGATTTCTGACTCTGGTTTGACCCAGTCATGACTGATGTAAGGCATCTAAGAAGTGAATCAGACAATGAAAGATCTCTGTGTCTGTGCTTTTCAGATAAAATGAGAATAAGTGCACACACCGTTTTTGAAACTTCAGTCTTGTCTACATTTTTGAATGCTTCTACTGAATGATGACAGAAAGCTTGAATGTGATTATGATCACTACCACGTATGCATTTAAAAATATTTTTGGAACAAAAGAACAAATACCATATATTCTCTCCTATGTAAGGAAGCCAACATGGAAGATGTAACTCCAATAGTCCAATCCATACTGTTTTTTGATGGTTTGCTCTTTTGGCTTTATCCCATGTGTTTTGATGTTTTTATTTCAGTTTAGTTTCTTCCAAATAATCTCTTTTCTCTAGTCAAATTCATCACAGTCTCATGAATTATACGGTGGCATCATTTTTCCCAAGAGACTTCTGTGTTTCCTTTTTGTCACTCATGTGTTGGTTACTCAGTGGCGCATTATTTTTTCAAGGTACTATAATTTGTTGTTGATGTTGTTGATGTGGCTGTTCTAACTCATACCAGTTGTTGGCCTTGTTTCACTACTTCTCACTTATGGTAATGTATAGTGATGAAGTACTGGGATCTATCATATACAGATGTGGGGGTACAATGGAATATGCATCCCTGCATCCAGATGAAAGATGGATTTCCAATGAAACTGTTGGACATGTGTAGACAATGGGATGCTGGACTGTCTGACATTGTACCAACAATGTCGGGGTACACTTAAATAAGAGACTGATAGTATTATCCCTTATGAAGGACTACACTATTGTCATAAAATGGGAAAAATCTGAGGGGGAGTGGGTGTTTGGGGGGAATAGCAGCCTATACAAAAATGTACCACATAATTCAAAATTCAAAATAAAAATCTTTTAAAAAATAAAAAAATTTTTGACAGTTATGAATGGATTTTGAGAATAGAAAGATGATAAAGACAGCAATTTGAATAGAATTTACGTCTTTTAGTGGAATCTAAAATTTTACTTTGTCTTGAAATGTTACCATCCCTTTTCCAAGTGCGATATGAATTCCCCACATCCATATGTCATCTTATCAATTCCTGCAATAGCTTCTTACACAAATATTTTGAGAATTCTTAGTTGATACTTAAATCCACATGTTCCATAAATTATATATATATACATACTTCTCTTCGCCTGGGATGGGGTCCAACAGCAGTTCCTCTTTTGTGGCTCTCCAGGCCAGTGTAACCTCCCTGGGTCCTTCCTCAGCCATGCTGTCAACCTCCTCCTGCCTGCTTTCTTTGTCCTCAGGAGTGGATGTGCCTTCTTCACCATTCTACTGGAATTCTGTCCTTTCTTCCAGTTGTGTCTCCTTTGTTTCCATTGGAATGTTCTCGTCGTCTTTTTTTGTCTTCAGCTTTGTTGGCCACTTGTTCTTCCTCAGACATGATACTGTTCTGCGGCTTCCTTCCCCCTCACCTCCTGCCACGTGCGGGCCGGCTCTTCTGCCTGTGAGATTTCAATGCGATTTTCTCATATCCACGTCTACCTTCAACCCATATAACCTCTTGAGTTCATTGTTCAATGAAATCTGTAATCTCTAGGAATTTTCTCTCCTTTTCCTGGTGTCATTCCTCTACCTGAAGAAGCTGAACTTACAGATTCTGCTGATGACCCATTAGAGAATGGACCTGTTGTGTAAGGACCTGCATTCCAGCTGTTGTGACAATGGACAGCATGTCAAGCACCACACTCACTCATTTGGTGAGCCAGTGTTTCTCTGGAAATGTGCAGTGGCCGTATGCTTCATTGAAAAGCTATTATCATAAGCTTCTGGGTCTTCCACGGTCTGGATGCTCGGCAAAGCTCCCCTTTGTCCATGCGGGACTATCTGTGTTGCCTTTTTTCCTCCACCATGGCTTTGGCGTTGACGTAAACCAGGCGCGCAGGGGTAATTCTGATAGATAGTACTCTATCTTATCTGCTTCGTATTGAAGCATTGTTTTGCTTCTTTGGGGGAATCATGTCTTCTTTGTTTTTATTTTTTGTATTTCTGCATTTATTTTTAGGCATTTTTGGAAGGAAGCACTCTGTTAAAGTTTTTTGTTTGTTTGTTTTAATGTTTGAATGATGCCTCTATGACTTGGTGGAATAACTACTCCTTCAGAGCAGAGCTGGGCGAGTGTGTTGGGTGTGGGCAACACACTCTGGTCAGCGCTTGAATGTGGGGTGAGAGTCTAGAGTGTGTCTCCTCTTTCATTAGCAAGGAGGAGGCAATGATCAAGACTTTTAGCATGATTGCAGTGTCCCCTCCATTCTTGCAAAGTGATCAACACAAGGGTTAGGCCATGTTGACTGCATCCCTCATTCACGCCAGCATATGAACCACATAAAAAGTCTGTGCAGTTTTCTGTGTGAGCACAAGGTCCTACAATGGTCTACCTTGGACAAACATGAATCTCTTAGTCTCTGATGTCAGACACATTGAGTGCCTAGAGACCCAGCTACACATTCTCCACTATTATGCACTCACATAGTTTTTATAACTTTTGAGAACAAGGTTTCCACACTCACACAGTGTGATCCACTCTGCCCTGTGAGCTGGACTGGTCACACAAAGGACAGAGGTGCTTCCGGCAGCAGCAGCCTGCGAGTGCTCCACCTTGTCAGCTTGTGTCTTGGAGCCTGTAGAAGGGTGGGGATGTGTGCAGACCAGCCATCACTGCAAAGTTCACTATTTTCCTTATTCTGGGTAACATGAGTTTAAGGGTCTTTTCTCTCAGTCTCACAATAATGTTGTCATTTTGCTTTTTCTAAAAAAAATCTGTTTATCTCATGAATCCACAAATGTATCTTGTGTTCATCTTTTCCATAGTTTTGCCCTGCGTTGAAGATTGTGATTTTTGCCCTTTCATGATAGATCACACTTACAGGTGGGTTAAGTTGCCTTCCTTTTCCCGTGCATTCTGTGTTACTGACTCATTGACACTGAACTCATAACCAGTAATTATATTATCACATCTGGACCTCATATTATCACATCTGGACAAGTTTCTCTGACATGTGCATTTTTCCCTTAAACATTTTAAGAATTTAACAATCACATTCCTCAAAGTGCAACATAGAACTACAATACATGCATAGATATACACTTACTGATAAGATAGGGAAAATAAAAATCTCTATTTTCTCTTCCCTACACCACATTCATTCAGAGTATTAGTTTGCTGGCTTCTAGTAATATGTGTTGTTATGAACCGTGCTCCTTCATCAACCTTGTGCAATAGAACATCCAAGCTTAATTCTTCCATGTGACTATTTTTGACACCTGTTAGGAAGGTATCCTTCATTTCCTTTCCCTGCCCTTCCCAGTCTCTAATAGTCATGATTCTGTATTCAAAACGATGATATTCTTAAAGATTCCTTGAGTGGCATTTCTTGTTTCTGATTTCCCATAATGTAATAATGTACTACAGCTTTATTTTGATGCAAGTGATAGAATGATAGAATATCATATTTTACACACTTTGCTTATCCATTTATTCTTTAAACAACATCTACATTGATTCCATAAATAGCTATTTTGAACAGCGCAGCCACCAGTATGTGAGTGCAGACATCTTTTTGAACATGGTGATTTCATTTTGGGAGAGATATTCCCTAGAAGTGGAATTATTTCATCATATGGCAGCTAGGTTATAGTTTCTTTTTTTAAGGAACTTACAAACTATGCTCCATAATTCCTACCACAACTTACATTTCCATCAACAGAGGGTTGGGATTTTCTTTTCTTTCAGCATTTTGTATTATTTGTGTTTCTAATAATATTCATGTGGACAACTGAGTCAATTTCAACAGAAATCCGTTTTCTCTTTAGTTTTTAAAGGTCAGCAAGCACTCAGTATGGAGCTCCAGGTGTTAACATCAGAAGGAACACACACAGAGCCTTTTTCCATCAGGCTTGTTACTGCTCCAGCCACTGGTGACTTTAAGAGCTGAGCACAGTTCCAGTAAGGTTTTCTCTGCTGGTAGTAAACACCAGAGCGTCAACAATCCCTATCAGGTCAGCAATGTCTCCCTTTTGAGCAGGTTGGCCAAGAACATGAGTTCAAGAGGAATGAGATGGTTTGGAATTCATTATGAGTTCAAATAAAGGCCTTCTGCGAACTGGAAGTCTGGGCTCTTTAGGAAACATTATTATCTAGGAAACAAGTGCATTCCCGCTTCAAATAGTGGAAAGAGATGCAAAGGCCATATCCTCAAGCACCTGAGTGGAGACCTTCTAACACAATGAATCCTATGGCTTCTTCTAGATTGGTGTCTGACATCCATAGAGCCCCCGGCCTGCATTCTCGCCACAGCGCTCTGCCTCTAAAGCCAGCTCTGCCATCTCTGGACCTGCAGTTACATCTTAACCTGTCATTCAAATTGAGGGTCTGTCAAAAAGGATAAATGCCCCCCATACATGGCTCTTGTAATGACATGGCTAAAGTGAACACAGATATAGTAATGATTATGAAACCGGTCATAAAACTACTGCTAAGGAGAAAAAGCAATGAAACTGACAGTCTGTCTCAATAATATTACCTGCATATTAGGCCTCTTTTCAAAAGAAATTTTATTTTGTTATTTTTCACGACTAAATTGTTTTTAAAAATTGAGCAAGACTTATGCTTTCCCTTTACCATATCCCAAACCTGTCATAATATAAAAAGTATAACCTGAATTAATTAATCACACATTAGAAAAATCTTTGACAGATCTAGCATTTAATATGAGCATCAGTTTCATTGCAAATTAAAGTTAGTGTATGTGATTCTTAGAGTAAAGTTGGTGGTATCAAAAATAGACTTAAACATCGCATGTGAAAGCTGTAATTTACATAATGGTGAACTCTTGATCTTAACTTTACACTTTTTATTCCTTATGAGCGAAAAGTAATGCTTTCTAAGTGATTTTATAAATAAGCGTTTAGTGTGACTTGCCTTATACAAAGCTGTGTTGCAGATAATTGTCACTATAGATGTTTGCTTCATTTCCCGCTTTCAAAAACCTTGCAGTCATCCCTAGACACGCAGATTAAAATGAATTTCCCCTGCAAGTTGCACTCGTAAACATTTTTGTGTCACTTTACGGCCTGTATTCTGTTTGATTCAAATCATTGCAGTTACGTAGCCTAGCTAAGAGTGCTCATAAAGCTGTTGACATTAACCTGGTTAAGGATTCTCACAATGCTGTTGGAAGAATTGAGGGAACCAATCCACAAAAAGCAGAGAGCAGATCTGCACTATAATAATCACTACAAATGTAAACAGCAGCAACACAGCTTTATTTCATCTCGTGTTCTCTGTTCTGTTCTCATTGTAACTACAACTAATGGTACACAATTTGAATGTTGGCAAATTTCTAATATCTTCAAATAGTTAAGTGGATATTTTAGTTTTCTGACCACATTAGTGGTTTTAGATATTTGATTTCTCTGAAATGCCAAATGGAATCAAGTTCATTAATAATTATTATTTCTATGAACTAGAAACAATGGAAATTTCAAAAGTCCTGATACTACCCTGATAATGTTTTCATCAAACTAAAAAAGCCCTGTGTGTCTTCCAAACAAACCACTTCTATTATATTCAAAGTCAAAATTATTAACAGAATTTTCTAATTCACATAAATGCAATTGAATAAAATATTTTAAATTTCAAAAGTTACAGAAGCAATATTTACTTTGTCAAATTTATTGGGTACAATGTGTGTGTGTGGGGGGGATGGATTTTAATACAGAAATGGGAAAAATTCATGTAGTGAAAAAAAAAAGAGTTTGGAGAAGAGAAGGTGTGCATGATAACAACCTTTATGGAAATTTTTGTTCTTTGAGCATTGCTAATACTTTCATTTACCAGAAAAGAACATAACCTTTTGCATGGTGTCTTTGAAGGCTTGCTTCACTTGCTGGTTCCTCAAGGTGTATATGAAGGGGTTCATCATGGGAGCAACAGAAGTGTTGAGAATAGCTACTCCTTTGGTCAATGATGCTCTCTCTTTTGCAGAGGGATTAGCATACATGAATATGCAGCTTCCGTAAGAGATGGAGATGACGATCATATGAGAGGAGCATGTAGAAAATGCCTTCTTTCTCTGATTTGCAGAGGGGAGTTTCAAAATTGTCCTAATAATGAACATGTAGGACAAGATTATCAATGCCAACGTGAAAAGCAGGATCACTACGGCAGAGTAGAAGCCAAAGAGTTCTAGGAACCACGTGTCGGAGCAGGATAATTGCAATAAGGGGAAGTAGTCACAGGCAAAGTGATCGATGACATTGGAGCTGCAGTAATCTAACTGGAGGAAGAGAATCACTGGCGGGAAGATGTTTAAGAATCCTGCTAGCCAAGCACAGAAGACAAGCAGCATGCAGACTCTCTTGTTCATGATGGTTGTATAGTGCAAGGGTTTGCAGATAGCTACGTAGCGATCATAGGACATAGCAGTTAGCAGGTAAAATTCAGTGATGCCCATGAAGATGAAGAAAAACAGCTGAGCTGTACAATCGTTGTACGAAATAGTTTTGTTTCTGGTGATAATGGTACTCAGAAATCTAGGTATTGAGACGGTTGTAAAAGTTATTTCTAACACAGAAAAGTTCCTGAGGAAGAAATACATAGGGGTCTGCAGATGAGAGTCCACCAAGGTGAGGGTGATGATGGTCAAATTTCCAGCAACACTTAGTATATATGTAATCATCAAAAAGAGAAAAATAGCAATCTGAAGCTCCGGGTCATCTGATAGCCCGAGCAGGATGAATTCTGTGGGCACTGAATGGTTTTTCATTCCTGATGCTTGCCTTGTGGGATGTTAAATATTTAAGTCAGGCTTTGTTTAGTATTTCAAAATACACATTACAATGAATAACCTACAAAATAAAATAAAATAAAATAATAATGGCTTTTCTCCATCAGTACCCTTTCCCATTTCCATTGTACCTTGTAATGAAGTACCAGTTGCTTGAGACCAAACGTGAATGCCTTTCCTTGCGAACGCATTTCTACATGTCATGGCTAAATAGTTCTGTCACCAACATTTAAACAGATGCCATTTTTTTAAAGCCACCTTTTAATTATGATTCTCTTCAAAATATTTAGCTGTTATTTATAAGACATATGAAAAGAGTTGATTCTTAAAATCTTTTCAATATTGTGAAAGTGCAGTTGGAACATAGCATTGTCTTTACATAAAGTTCAGAACCTTTCAAGGCTGCAGGGGCTTATGTTCACACGAGGGTAACAGAGATGAGGCCCACACTGTTCAGCAAAGTTCTGCAGGAGGAACGACAATCACAAGAATTATCATTTTCCTTGGAAACGAAGTAGTTTTTTATGGAAAACAAAGTAGTTTTTCACAGTGCTGCCGTTGTCTCCCAATGTCTTACTTCAGTTTTTGGTTGATATTTTTACCATCTTTATGTTTTGTTTCTGAGCTAGCAAGAAAAAAAAAAAAAGTGAAGCACAAGAAAAGGGACACTCTTTTGTTAAAACCTCTCATGGCCTAAACATTTTAAATCCTGTAATGTAAAATTCATATTTCCTGCCCTATTGCCTCTCAGTCTTTTGGCTAAGATCAAGTACAGATTTCCTGCCCTGGAAAAGTAGACAAGTAGGCAGTCATAAAATTTTGGGCGGGAGGAAATAGAGAATGATTTTTAAAAAATTCTAGTGTATCATAGCATAGCGTGTAAGCATCAGGAAAAAGGGGCAATTAAAAACATTATGTCCCTGCTTGGGATGTCATTATAGCTTCTCAATAACAGATTATTTAGCTTTTAATATCAAAAAGATTTCAAATCTGTAATCATTTATAAAAGCAATATTTTAAATACTTAAATAAAATGAAGAACATGCATTGTGTCAAGGAAGAGCAAAGATACTTACTTCCTGGTTCTTGATAATTCACTCTGGAATTCTACTGACTTTCTTAAATATTAAAATAATGTCAAAGCTGGAAATTAATTCAAAAATTTTCATTTATGCTCTCAAGTAATTGTGGTAATCGAGCTTTTCATGGTTTTGAGACATTATGCACTTTTTTTTTATTAGAGGGTAATAATATTTGTGCCATAATACTCTTAGCTGTTACCAATAGTTCCTATAAAATTGTTGGAGCATTGCAAGACACTGCAATTATCTCCTATTTTTCATTTTAGATCTGTGTATAAACACAGGTAAGCCTGGGTGATTAGTATAACACTTTTCTTTCTGTACCTTTCCGTGTAATACAAAAACACTTAAAAAGCCTTTTTCATTTTCACATTTTCAAATGAATTTGTTATGATCCTACAATGATACCTCAGTAAAATCTAAGTAACAGTTCCCCAGACCTCAGAAACATTTTCTGCCAGTGCTGATTTGAACAAGGGGTAAAAAGGAATGTCCCTCTCTGCAATATGTTAGCCAAATGGACTTGAACGCATTTTATCTGAGGCTTTCTTACTGGCTCAGGGGAATTCATTAAGTAAATAGTGAGTGCCAAGGAGGGACATCATTAAAAGATACAGAAAATGATTGACATTGGCTTTTTTTTTTACACATAATGATTAGAAAACATGAACATTTTGATTAAATTTTGTGAAGCATACAAACATGCAGAATTGTTTCTGGCTGTGTTGATTCTGTTATATGATTGGGCCACCTACACTGCTGACTGCTGTGCAAAGAAGTCAACCACATCTCAAAGCCACGATGAAGATGTAGGGAGCCAGATCCATTGGCACTGGGTGGAAGTGCTCTGGCTCATGAGAGGGATCCATTAGATAAGATAGAAAGAGAGCCCTGAACTCCAGATAGGGAAGTCCTGGATCCCAAATCATCACGATGTAACTGCAGAAGACGTGATAATCTGCGCTCTCAGCAACTCTTACATTAAAAGTCAAAACTCTGTGAGGAAGTAATGAAATAGCATACATAGGTAACTAGCTTAAGGCATGAGCTGGAAGCCATACTCCCCCTGTTCTTTTGCTCTTTGTAAATCCTACCTGCCTATCAACCAATGACTCTTCCCCTAGGACACCTTGCCCTCACCAAGGATCTGGGGTGGTGTCATGAATCACCCCTTTCCAATGAGCATATGAAGACTGGCAATGTGAAGGGACAACCTCTCCTTCTGCTGACACAGAATGGAAGGTGGGAACATTTCTCACTCTTCCACCCTAACCCACCTGCTCCTTTCCATCTCCAAACATGTCCAAGTGTATCTTTTACCTCCTCACTTTTAAATTAAAAGAAAAAAAATTTAAAAATGTTGCGTCTAACTTCATGAGAGTTACTATGCTGATTTCTTTTGCATTTTGGCAATCCCCCCTTAAAATCTTGTTTATTACTATACTGTGATGAATATAGTAAATTACTATACTTTTTACCATACTATGATGGCACAAATGATGTCATGACTTGTGGTATGACTTACCTGTCTCCTGAAATGGATAGTGCTAAAGACCTTTGAAGGCCTTTATCTGTGTATTGATTCATTACACTTAATGAAATCCTTCCCATACCTTGATTAGGATCATAGAGATATTTGCCAAAATTGAATTTGTTGCCTGTGAATCATTTGCTTTTTATTAAATCATTGTTTCTTGTTACTTTATATAATAACATGTCAATGTTAGAATAGTTGTGCAAAAATAAAAAAGTATTTGGGAAACTGAGATTGAATATTTTTAATTTGTGTGTTTGAACATTTTTAAATTGAAAGATACAAATCTTACAAATAAGGAAAGTTTAACATTTATATTCTACATAGAAATAAACTTTACACATTATATTGAGCAACTTTTTCTTTATTCTTTGCCAGTAAAAAGAAAGTAATTGTAAGGCAGCTTTGTATGTAATTCCAGAAATAGAGATGGCTGATAATATTGAAAGATGTGTTTGGAAAGCGGGGAAATAAAAAGTAAGGAAAAGATAAACAAGCAGCTATTTAAATTAAGGAGACTAAAAAGTCATTGAGTTGCATGGAATTTTTAATTGACACATATTAAGATAAACATTGATTATCATATCTATCTAGAAATGGTAGAAATTATTTACTACATATAAAATGCTGCAACTTTGCTTTTAGCTTTTACACAATAGTAATTATTTTCCTATATTTTAAGCTCTTTAACAATGATAAATTTAGTCATCATTTAAAGAATTTTGATTATCAGGTATATATCAACATCTAACTTATCTAACTTTTTCCAAAAACAGATAATGGAAATACTACAAAGAAGAAACTAGTTAAGTCTTTTCTCTCCATGATAAATGTATTTGCATGTAATGTAGCTTTATTGACTATTTTAGAGAAAAAGAATAACTTTCAAGCAAAGCATGATATTTTATCAAAAATATCTGTGAGACTTTTTCCCTGTGGTATGTTGTCTTAAGATTTCAGAAAATTGATGATTGTTTTACTTCTTTACTCATTTCTTGATCTTCTTTTTCTAGATTTATTTAGTTATTTATTTGAAACTAAGAAAGAAAGAGAGGAAAAAAGAAAGAAAGACATTAAGAAAGAAAGAGAAAGAAGGGCCTGGTGCGATGGCTCAGTGGCTAAATCCTAAGCTTGCATGTGCCAGGATCCCATAGATGCCTGTTTGTGTCCCAGTTGCCCCGCTTCCCATCCAGCTCCCTGCTTGTAGCTTGGAAAAGCAGTGGGGGATGGTCCAAAGCCTTGGGACCCTGCACCTACATCCACGTGGGAGACCCGGATGGAGCTACTGATCTTTGATCAGATCAGCACAGCTTTGGCTGTCATGGCCACTTGGGGAGTGAAACAGCAGACGGAAAATCTTTGTATCTTCTCTCTGTAAACCTACTTTTCTCATAAAAATGAACATTAATATCCTCACTACTAATACATAATTTCATGGTAACAGCTCACTAGCATCTTGATTAATGTGATGAATGTTTGTAGGAAAAACGCCCCTTGGCTTCCAGCAAGGCAGTTCTACAGCTTCTGGAAATCGCATAAAGTTAGACTTACAAACAAGCTCAAGTCTTTCACACCGGTGAAAGACTTTCATACCTTTTAGGCATTTCTTGATTTAAACACAGTTTCTATGTATTTTTTTTTGACTAATCCCACAAACTAAAGAATATCAATACTTTAGTATTAGTTGTAAAAAGCTAGTGTCTTTAGTTTTCTGATGGTCTTAATGATGATCAAGAAAATCATTTTATCTTTCTTACATGTAATAGTTCATACCAGCCTGGATATGCCCAATGTCTTCCGGAAATATTCAAATACTTGAATAGATGCAAAAATCTGAATATATTGAAAATACATTTGTTTTTCTTTCGCTAAAGTTACATAAACATAATATATTGTTTAGGAAGAATGTTTGTATTAACCAAATAGGGAGTAAATCAGAGCTTTTGCTTGGTTTTTCAGTTCGCTGTAAGAGTATAGAAATTGGTTACAATATTTGTTACAGCATTAATAAGTATCAACATTATTACTACTTTTATCTTCAATGTAGGTAATAATTACACTTATGTGCTTGGAAAATATTTGACATTTTTGAGAACATTGTAAATAATAGTTATTGGTGATCTGAGTCTTTGCATATGCAAAAAATATTTGAAATTGTGTAAACTACAGGCAAGTCTTGATCTTGAAGGTATTATAATGATTCCTAAAAATCAGTTACTCAGAAGAATGCTACCATGCTAATTTCTTAATTATGTGGTATGTGTAATTACCATACATTTAGGATGCTTTGATTTCCAGATATTAGCAGCACATAGTTGAGTTAGAAAGACAAAAAGTGCTAATTATATTACAGGCTGTCCAAAACAAACTTTCATTGTTTTATAAGTAATTCAATTTTTAAAAGATTTATTTTATCTTTCTTAGAAAGTCAGATATATAGAGAGGAAGAGAGACAGAGAGGAAGATCTGCCAGTTGATTCACTCCTCAAGGGAACACAACAGCTGGAGTCGCATCATTCTGAAGCCAGGAGCTGAGACCCTCTTCTGGGTCTCCCACACAGGTACAGAGTCCCAAGGTTTTGGGCCATAATCCACTGATTTCCCAGGCAGCAAGCAGGGAGCTGGATGGAAAGCGGTGCCACTGGGGTTAAAACCAGCGCACATATGGGATCCTGGTGTGTAAGTGAGGCCTTTAGACATTAGATTACTGTGCCAGGCCCCAAGATATTTGAATTTTTAAATATTTCATTTAGTTATAAGATCCAAAAATTTCAGGAAGAAAAATGCTAAAATGAAAGCTATCTAATCAAAATCGGTTAAAAGAAAATGAAGTTGAAATTCTCTCACAGTACACTAGTGACTTATTCTTCAAACCAAGAGATCAGATATGAAATTGATGTTCAAATGATTAAAACAATTATATACTGATCTGGTTTATTTTTATTATATTTGAAGAGCTGAGTTTCAAAGAAAATAAAGATGCCATGCATTAAATCTTACACAACAGAGATCTGCATTCAATGTGTTATCCAGCAAGGTATGTTACTTCTAGTACAATAACATAGAATCATAAAGGAATGATTATAGAGAACATGAAGAATTTATAATCACCTTGATGCTATCAATATTTCTCTAGGAATTACATTTAAAAATCATACAAAGTTTCAAAAGAACATATGCAGTACAACATGAGAAACTGTGTGTAATTGAGGGAATACTCCAAATACAATTAAGTCTGCTTCAATAAATTGTACACCTTTTAAATAATTACATATCAATATCAAAAATTATGGAGGAGATATAAAATATACAATCAATGAATTACAGAGTTAATAAAAATAAAGGTATGGAAATAAGGGAATGGAAACATGGGTATGGAAGCAGAAGGATGATCTGGGAAAAGCTCCCCTACAAAGAGGACTAAGTTTTCTACAGCTACTTAGAAATCCTGAGATTTAACTTTTTAAAGTGTCTTTTTACAGTACCTTTTCTCATCACTTCTAGGCCTTTTCACTAAGATCAAGCAGAGTACAATGTCTTTTCTCTGTGACACAGCATGTCATTTGCTTGCAGAAAGAACTACCTTGTGGACCACATCTCTGAAGGCTTGTTTTACCTGCTGGTTCCTTAGAGTGTAAATGAAGGGGTTCAGCATGGGGGCCACAGAGGTGTTGAGAATGGCCACTCCTTTGGTCAAGGATGACTTTTCCTTGGCAGAGGGATTAACATACATGAAAAGGCAGCTTCCGTAGGAAATGGAAATGACAATCATGTGAGAGGAGCAGGTGGAGAAAGCCTTTTTCCTCTGACTGGCGGAGGGGATTCTCAGGATAGTCCTGATAATGTACATGTATGATAAGATCACCAAGGCCAAAGTGAAGAGCAAAGCAACCAAGGCAAAGTAAAAGCCAAGGACTTCCAGGAGCCTGGTATCTGAGCAAGACAGCTGTAAGAGGGGGAAGTAGTCACAGGCAAAGTGATCAATGATGTTAGAAGCACAGTAGTCCTGCTGGAGCAGAAGCATGAGGGGTGGGAAAATGGTGAGGAAGCCCCCCACCCAGGCACACAGCACAAGCAGGGTGCAGAGTTTCCTGCTCATGATGGTAGTGTAATGAAGGGGCTTGCAGATGGCAACATAGCGGTCATAGGACATGGCGGTGAGGATGTAAAACTCAGTGACTCCCATGAAGATAAAGAAGAAGATCTGGGCTGCACAGTTATTATAAGAAATGGTTCTATCTCCAGTGATGATTGCCCCCAGAAACCTTGGGATGCAGACAGTGGTGAATGAGATTTCTAGGAAAGAGAAGTTCCGGAGGAAGAAATACATCGGTGTCTGTAGATGGGAGTCCACCAAAGTTAGGGTGATGATGGTCAAGTTTCCAGTTACACTCAATATATAGGTGATGAATAAAAAGATAAAGATCACAACCTGAAGGTGAGGATCATCAGAAAGACCTAGGAGAACAAACCTAGTGATCACTGTGCGATTCATCCTCTCTCTGTGTCTCTTTTTGTTCCCCCTCTGTTAAAGATATGAGTAAGGAGACAGAATTAAACAGAGGAGATGAAGCTGTAAGTCATCATGGTGGACAGCATCACAATTCCCGAATACCATCTGCAGATAATTGATCACCACTTGATTTGGGTTATCTTCTTTATATTTGTGTTAGTCTACTTTTGTGTTTGGCTTATTGACTAGTTGTCTGATTCTAGACGTAGCAGGGGAAGTTAGAAAATGTTCACATAACAAACCACACTATTGAGAGATAGTAAACTTGGTAATTCTTGCTATGTGTCCAATGCATGTAAAATAACAATACCACATTTTGTTGAAACAATCATGTGTAATATATTTTTTTCATGATGAAATTGTTACCGCTTAAAATGAAAAGGGATCATCTTAATATCATCAAAAGAGAGAAAGGAAGCTGAGTAGAGAAAAGTAACAGTTGGTTACTGTATAGCAAAAGAAGCTGATTTCTGATGACCTTCGTGGAAATATTTATGTTTTTAATATTTCATTCATTTGTGTAATTTCATTACTAATATTTTGGTCTAATAGTTGAGGTGATAGGAGTACATGTGAATATATGTTAAGGTAGAATAAACAATTATATTATTTAATTAGTAGTGAATATTTTGGTTAGTTTATGATAACTCTGTAAATTTTGTTACTCTGTATGACTTGCTAGAAATGAATGTATTCTACACAGATATATTTATTTTTAAGTTGAAGGCAATATGAGACATTTGATTATTTTCCAGTTTGCTCTGAGCACCGGTTGAAAAAACAGCTACTTGCCTGAAATTTCAGCAGCTCGCTCATTCAATGGCAGCAAATTTGGTTTTCCATTCAAACATCTTTCTTCTTGATCGGGCCATCTTTGTGGAGAACTGTTTGAATCCCTAATAATGTTGTTTCACATGAGAGAACGCATCCTCTGGATTCACTCTTCCATAAAGGTATCTAGAAATCTATAAGAAGCACTAATGTGTATATCATGGCCTTACCAGTTCATCCCAATTTGAAACACTGTCGTGGGTATGGGCAGCTCAATCCTGACCATCTTCTCTTCCATACCAGAGACAAATTTCTTCCATGAAGGATACAAGATAAACTCATTCCTTCTTTTCCAAAACATAGTGAAGTTTGCACTAATTCACAGTTTTACCTATTTTATGATTGATTGATGGGAAATGCAGCCAGAATTTAAAAAGAAAGGTCAGAAACTTCAAAAGAAATAAATGCTCGTTACACTCCTCAATCACTTGATCCAATTAGAAGTTTTCAAGACTGAAGACACAGAGACAAGAAATAGTAGTAGTGTATGGTGTGAGTGGAGCTACACAAATTAGAATGAGGCAACTCCATGGAAATATCAACTTCTCAAATATTGCAAGCCGGCTTGTTTTGACCTTAGAAGAATTGATCTCCTGAGAACAAGAGGGAGTCTGGGCCACATCTCTATTACACATCACGAGGGATTTCTGGACGGCATCTTTGGATTTCTCAGTAGCCTCTGACTCTGCTGTGTAGTGGATTTCCCTTGAGCATGGCTACACTCAGCTTTTCATTCCTTCTGAAGCCCTAAAATATTGCCTTCTGCCAAACAGACTTCACTAAATGCCATTGCTTTAGTATTATTATTCGTATCATATGCTTCTTTAGCATTTCATGAGTAATACAATTAGCTATGTAGCATCTTGATCTACTATAATACATTGTATCATAGAGAGTAATTCTCATTATGATTTGCTATATTTTACTGCAGCTTCAATTTTGTTCAGTTTATTGACCATTACAGTTTTTCATGATCTCTTCAGCATTTTATTATAAATACCAGAAAAACTCGAGTTTCAATTTATGTAAAACTCTTCTTAGGGTATTAAGCTACTTCCGTCAATGTTTGTTACATTTGCCAAATACACATGTTCTGACAGTAAAGTATTTGTCATAGAGATAGCAAGATACATAATTTATTTTTTCCTTTAGCAGTATTTTAAAATGTTGTTCTTACTAGCGTTTATCCAGCTGAGAGGGATACATGCCAATTTTGGCCTCCTATTAGCGTGGGAATGATTGAGGTATAGAGGAAGGTTGATGGGACCCAGGTTTTGCTTGCTTGTTTTTTCTCCTGTGTGCACTTGGGGCAGGTTTGGGGAATGATGAAGTGTGAGTGTGGGGTGTGGAGATATAGGGAAGAGGAGGGAGCCGCTCCTTGTTGTCAGATTACATCAGCAGTCTCTGATGGGGGACAGTCATGAAATGACCCCTTAGAGACCCAGTTTGGGGAAGAATGTTCTGAGGGTGTCACTAGAGTGATTTTATAGTTCTAAGACATTTTCAGCTTTGTGGCCCCAGGGTTGAGAAAACATTTCCCAGATGTATTGGCTTAGTGCATGCACAGGCTCAGACACTGCAAAACTTGACCATAAGAATTGTCCAACCTGTTCTGCTTTCCATCCTCTGAGGAGACATTCAACTTCCTCTCCCGACCTAGATGAGCTGGCTGCCTTGTCTTCCATGTGCATCTGGCATGCTGCCCATTGCACAGTCATCACCAGCTGAGAATGGTCAATCCTGATACGTGCTCTCCAATGTCAAACCACATGCATTCTGATTTTCCCTGTGGCCAACGTCTGAGTCTAGTGATCTATTTGAGGATTCCACCAAGAACCCTCACCTGGGTGACCTGAGACTTGACTCTTGCGTGCACCTGACAGTGTGGGATCAGGTTCAGTCCATCACCTACACCAGCCAATATAATACTGTAGTAATTTGAATACATGCTTAGTTCTAAGCTATTTAAAAACTGAGAAAATATATCTTTCATATTTTCTTAAATAATATACATCCTGCTAATAAATATATAAATGTGTGTTAATGTAAATATAAATATATTAAATAAAGTGAATAATATATGTCAATGTTTATCGCAGTTTAAAATGGAAAATATATTGCAATACATATGAATTATAGATATTTGTATGTTTATACATAAATATACCACTGAGTCATAAAGACAGATACTTTGAAGAAATTAGAGAAATCATACTATACTCCATTATCTAATATGTATTTCTTCATTATTATGTAAAACATATGTGCAGGAATATATTTATGTTTGTACCTGTGATATATTTATTCGTATATCTAACTGTAGAATTTAGAAAGAGGGTGCTTTGTTATCCACATAAATTAAATGAAATCATTGTATTACACTGAGTTACAAGAAATATTTTCAGATTTTAGAGTAACTTGTTTAAACTTTGTTAAACTTACTAAAATTTTATGACAAAACATTCTCAGCAAAACTGCAAAATGTCGAGAGAGATTTTTTGGCAAAAATCACTAAGTTATATTTTTGTATACAGTAGGTACAATAGTTGAACTTTTTAAAGTTGTCTCCTTCGCTTCCTGGTAGTTTCTCTTATGCAAAAATAATTTTATTTATGGAATAGTTGTTTAAGAAGTTGTGATAAACAAATTTTCAGAAGAATGCACTGGTGGAAAGACATGAAAATAAGTTAAATGGGATGAAAAGGATATTAAACATATGTTTTCAAAATCCTGAAAATGGGAAAGTTTGAGCAAGGATGAGAGAGGAAGCCACAGAAATCTGAATAGGCCGATGACATTTCACATCAGGATATGACAGTCTCCATTACACAGATACTAAACATCCCCTTACATGAAAAACTACAAAACAAAATGAACAACAGGAAGAAAATAGAAATTTATACTGTTATGAATTTAAATAACATGCTGCTGAATGATTAATGTGTTGCTGAAGAACGAAAATCAAAAACATTCTTGAGAAACATGCTACTGCTGCACAACATATGAGTGAAGAATTTAATGAAAAAATGCTTTGAAGAAATGAAAATAAACAAACACATCAAAAAAAATACTCAGGGCTTCCTTTGCTGTTTTTATTTGAATGGCAGAGTTACAAAGATAGAAAGAGAGACAGAGAGGTCTTCCATCTCTGGCTCACCACCCAGTGTTGGCTGCAGTTCAGCTGATCCATGGGTTTTCAAGGTGAGCACAGGGACCCAAGGCCTAGGTCCCTCCCCTGCTGCATTGGCCGGACATTCGCAGGAAGCTGAATTGGCAGTAGAGCCTCTGGGACTTGACTCAGCTTCCATACGGGATGCTGACGCCGCAGGCAGACATTTAGCTGGCTATGTCACAGTGCTGGCAACCATAGTTATATATTTAACATTGAGCTTCAGTGTAAGTCTAATTCACAAGGCCATAGAATTTCATGTACCAGTGGAAAATATAGTTTTCCATGCCATGTTCATGAAGGCCTGCTTGACTTGCTGATTCCTCAGGCTGTAGATAAAGGGGTTCAGCATGGGGGCTACTGAGGTGTTCAGCACAGCAACTCCCTTGCTCAAGGATACTCTCTCTTGTGCCGAGGGCTTAATGTACATGAAAATGCAGCTTCCATAAGAGATGGAGATGACAATCATGTGGGAAGAGCATGTGGAGAAGGCCTTTGTCCTCTGGGAGGTGGAAGGAATCCTCAAAATTGTCCTGATGATGTATACGTAGGACAGAAATATTAAAGCCAAAGTGAACATTAGAGTAAACACAGCACAAGAGAACCCCAAGATCTCCAGGAATTTTGTGTCTGAACAAGAAAGTTGCAGCAGGGGAAAGTAATCGCAGGTGAAATGGTCAATGACATTGGATCTGCAGTAATCAAGCCTCAAGAGCAACATGAGAGCAGGGAAAATAATTAAGAATGAAACCAGCCAAGAGGACAGGACAAGCAGCGTGCACACTTTGCGATTCATGATGGTCGTGTAGTGCAGCGGTTTGCAGATGGCAACGTAACGATCATAGGACATGGCAGCCAGGAGGTAAAATTCAGTGACTCCCAGGAGAATAAAAAAGAATAACTGCGCCATGCAGTCATTGAAAGAAATGGTTTTATTTCCTGTCACAATGGTGCTCAGGAACCTGGGTATACTGACTGTTGT